ACCTTGGTGGTGATTGATGTGTTCGAGTCAAAGACTGACCTGGTTTTGGGGGGGAGAAAAACTACATACAACAACAACGATAGGAAAAAAAATAATAATCAGGGAAGTCATTCCTTGCAGGCAGCATGAAGTTCTGTCTTAGTTCCTCATCCTGTGGAGACGGTTCAATTCTGTTAGCAGAGTTTCTTCCATTTTTTGTGCTTAAGTCATAAAAACCCTTACTTCTCTGGTTGTTGGCAAGGGAGAGAGGTGGTATGTTGCTGTGCTTAAAAAAAAAAAATTAGGGAGTTCACTGAATTTAAATCAGTTCACATAAATGAATGATGTAGAATCCATGACATGCCAAGGTCATGAAAAAATAGATCAGTAGGGCAAGGTCCACTTCCAAACACGCCGTTGTGCTTTGCAAAGGTGCTGCAGCTTTGGGAGTAGCAGCCCTTGGGGACCTTGCATAGAAATCATAGAGCATTAGAGTCTGGCAAAAGCTGAAAGGACTTGCTCTGTGTCTCAACGGGAAGTGGGCTTGGATTGGTCTCCAGGTTATTTTGGCTTCGTGGTGGTTTGATACAGTCAGTTGCAAAGATTGTATCAGCGCTTGGTTTTGAGAGAAAGCAGTTTGGAGCAGATTTAAGCTTGGAATAAACAATCCTCTGGGCTGATTCGAGCAGGACAGCCAACCTTTTTTTTTCCTTTGTACTTTGACTGTGTTTTCTTCTCCTACCCGTCACTGAGTCCATTAATCTGTCATGGGGACATCTGCCCAACTGTGTTAGACAAGCAAATAGTCTTTGTCAAAGTACTTCTATGGTTCAGCACAAACATCTGTAGAAAACGTGGTGCTGCTGCTATGAATGAGAAGGGCAGAGCATGCATCTTCCTGAATGCCTGACTGTAGGAGGCAGGAATGGTGTTCTAAAAACCCTTCAATGCTGTCCATGTAAGTCTTGTTTTCTCTCTTTCACCCTGTTGCCATTCTTTGAATGTTAGACTAAACGAGGAGTCTTGCTTTTGCTATGGGTATAAAGAGGGCATGGAGAGCTTTCTTTTTCTTATTCAGATATATTAGTCTTATATATAAAATATTTCTTATATCATTTCTGTGCAGAAATCTCAACTATCTCCTGAAAATGGAAACACTGAAAAAGTACATAGCTGTGACATGAACTGGCTGTCTCTAGCAGCTATGTTATTTACCATTTCCCCAGCCAGAAGCTCGGAGGGCAGTCTGAGCAGTTTCATCTCCCCCATCTCAAGAAGTTGAATGTGTTTGTGTCAAATCAGATCCAATACTCCCTTGGTTAAGACTCTCTATGGCCTCATCACCAGCAGATGCTGTGGGCAGATGCTTTGGGACCTAATAAGAGACGTCTCATCAGTCTGATGCTCAAGGCACTCCTGAGCTGATGGATGCTTGGTGACAAACATCACTGAGGTGAATCACCTTCTGGGAAGATTTCTATTGTCTGTGATGGGGTCTGACAAGACTAGCTTAGCTGGGACACCTGAGATGAGATTCTTCCCATTGAATATTATGCTCAGTGAGCATTTGGTTTAGAATCACGGAATTGTTTGAGTTGGAAGGGAGCCTGAAAGGCCATCTGGTCCAACTCCCCTGCGATGAGCAGGGACACCCACAGCTCCATCAGGTGCTCAGAGCCCTGTCCAGCCTGACTTTGGGTGTCTTCAGGAATGGGGTATCCACCACCTCTCTGGGCAACTTGTACCAGTCCCTCAGCATACTTAGATTAGGCACTATACACTTTGCAGTTGTATTTCTCTTGATAGCCAAGCTGGGAAGATTTGAGTGATCCCACTCCTTTTTAACACTGGTGGGAGATGGTGAATGTAGGGAAGGTCTCTTCTTTACAACAGGACTTAAATAAGGCTATCAAACTGTTGAGATCACTATTTGAATGGAATGCATCTTCTGGGGGAAGGGATTTCCTTCTAGGCCTGGACTTCAAGGGTCATAAATGTTTTTACAGCTACAATACATTGAAGGACTCCAACCAAAAGAGACCATGTGATCATGCAAGAGAACCCAAACAAGCAAACAGTCATCTTTTCAAAGAACAAAAGGTCAAAGGGGGGCAGGGCCATGAGGTCCTAGCCTGGAAAAACAGACCCTTTATCATGAAAGGGCCAGGGCAGTGCATGTGAAGACATCATACACATTGGGAGGGAACGAGCCTTTCCAACTCAAAAAGTAGTGTTCTCTGTCACATGGAAACAATAACTCAGCACTGTGAAGGCATCTGGTTTAGTTCATGGGAACAAGATTTTTCTCGCTCCCCATGGGTTCAATGCGTGAATTAGATAGAGAGCTCCAGGGCTCTCTAGTTTTGTGTCTTTCTTTCCTGGTAGAACACCCTCCAGCGAGTACATAGCTCCCCAAATTGCACACCTGAAGGGAGCGCTCCAGCACCAACCGAGACCCAACCTTTGGTCTGGGAAGCCTTGAACCTCCCATGCCATTCCAGCTCTCTTCATCTCCTTTTGATAATCACAGAATCACAGAATCACTAAGGTTGGAAAAGACCTATAAGATGATCCAGTCCAACCATCCACCTATCACCAATGGTTCTCGCTAAACTATATCCCTCAACACAACATCCAAACGTTCCTTGAACACCTCCAGGGTCAGTGACTCCACCACCTCCCTGGGCAGCCCATTCCAATCCTGGGAATGTTGGCTCCCCTCCTGCTAGCAAAAGGTTTACTTTTCCCCAAGCATTTCAAATGAAATCCAAGACCATGCACAGTGCTGCACCTTGCAACAGTTATCTCACTTTTATCTTGTTTAATAATGACATTTCCTGGCAATTGTGTGAGCCATCTGGAACAAGAGATACCTTGAAACCAGAAAGCTTGATTGTCTGTTTGCCATTAACCTTTTATACTTTGCTTTACACGGAAGGGTGGGGATGGGAAGGCTGTATTTATCCTCCTGCTGATGGGCCTGGCCTGCTCACCTCCCACATGCTTCACACTTCAGCAGACTCAATACATGGATCTGTTTTGATTAGCAATATCTGTGTCAGGGAAAGCATCAGCTTTCTGACACCCATTGTGATGGAATGTTGCCTCAGACACAGTCAGTGGCATATCTGTTGCCCCCCAAGCAGTGCCTGCTGGCAGAGTAATGCCTTTGGTATCCCAGTTCACCAGCAGGATAGGCATGGCCCAGGTGAACCAGCTGTCCTTCCCACCACTGGGAATCACACACACCCAGTCATCCTTTATCCAGTATATCCACAATGATGTAATGAGATCCAGGAACTGAGCTCATTTGAAAGAAGATTGTGTGAAGCACAGCCTGGTATCAGAGGGCAGCAGAGAGGTCTGCTCTCTAGAGGTGAATGATGATGGAGAAGAAATAAAGCCTATAATGTTGGCTGAACTCTACCTCCCTCTCTGTACTTGTGGAAGAGCATCTTGTGCTAGATTCCTGCCCTGCTGTGACTTCCTCACCTTTACCTCTCCCAGCTCTGGATTCGTCCCACCCATCAGGCACTCAGGTTAAACTTTGGTCAAAGCAGTGCTTAGGCTTCACCATGTGAGCTGAATAAAGGAATAAAGGCACGTTCAGAGGGCAGCTGAGTAGTAGCAGCTCAAGGCACACTAAATCAGTGGGATTGTTCATTCTGGAGGAGTCTCAGGGGAGATCTCACCCCTCTCTACAACTCCTTGAAAAGATATTGTAGGGGAGGTAGGGGTCCACCTCTACTCCCAGGTGACAGTGATAAGACAAGATGGCCTCAGGTTGCACCAGGAGAGGTTCATGATGGGTATTATGATAAATCTCTGTGCAGAAGGAGTGGTGGCACAGGCTGCCCAGGGAGGTGGTGGTGTCACTGTCCCTGAGGGTGTTCCAGAACTGTGGAGATGTGGCACTGATGGATGTGGTCAGTGGGCATGGGACTGGGATTAGACTTGGTCATTTTTGAGGTCTTTTCCAGTCTTAATAATTCTATAACAATGATTCCGTGGTGTTTGTAGAGCAAGCACAAGGTTCAAGGAGTTTGTAATGAATTCACTCATGTAGTAAAGCTGCCCACTGGGACAAATAAATGTTAATCCCAGCTTGAGAGACAAAGACAGAAGTTGGAGAAAACCTTCATCTGTGTCCCAGCCCTGATCCTGGGCAGCTTCTCCCCATTTCCAGATAATTTCACAGGCTTTTCTTCTTGCCTTGTTCTCTCCAGTGTGCATCCTCCAGGCAGCCGCAGGGTTGTGTTCCCTGCCCAGGGCACCCACAGCAATCTGGCTGCCAAATCTCCTTCTGCCCATCCCAAATTTAATCACTTTGGATGTCTTCTTCTTCATATTCTTCTGGAGGGAAGTGCAGAGAAAGAAAGGGAGAGATTAACAGATTAACAGACCCACTGTGAAATCCTAAATTACTAACTCAGAAGCAATAAAGATAGGGAGACAGATGAAAGAAAGAAAAAGAGAGAGAAGGAATGGTATTATTACAACTCACAAGATGTTTTGGCCCTGCAGGAAAGCAGAGTAAATACATTATATCCCATGAATTCCTTCTCACTGATTGTTTATTTACAAACACATTTTCTGGCCCAGATAAAGCTGGGTGACAAATGGAATCAAAACTTTGACCCCAAATGACTCAGAAATATGTGGGTAAAAATATAGCTATGTTTAAAAACAACAGCATTTATTTTGGGAGATTGGTTGTCACACTGAGCAGCACTGAGTGTTTCACAATGCAGACAAATGGAGCAGCCATATGTTAACAATAAACATGAACTCTGTAGAGCTTTGTTCTATCCACAGTGGCCCAGAGGAAGACATAGTATGTGAGAGATCAAGCAACTGGGGTACAGGGTGGGAAGGCATTTTGCCCAGGACCACACAGTCTAGAAATAGTCACTTCTTTGCCCTCTGGGGTGAATGGTTGAGTCCACTGAAGCAGAATTCAACTAGTAGTGATTGCTTATGAACATCTCACATTTTAATTAAAAGCAAGGGCCAATTTCCTTGTTGATATCTTTATTAGATGTATTCCAGCTATGATGATCCAGAGGTGCAGGGCATGGCAAACTGTAAGCAGCAAGGTGGTTTCTTTTGTTAGACAAGCTGGGTTAAGTTTTCCTTCCCATGAGTGTTCCTCCCCAGTTTGGTAAAACATATCCACTTCCACCAATGCTGGCATTTTTTCTTCTCTTCTCTGCTTTTCCAACAAAATCTTCACAAATGAAACCTGCTCATTGAAGTAGCTGGAAGCCAAGAGGTTTTTAGCCAAAGGCAGAGGATAAAAGATACCAGGGAGGGGGGAAAGGAGAGGATCTAACTGAAAACTTGACATTTTCTGCTGAACGTTTTGCCAAAGAGGAATAT